CCAGTCAAGCCCCACTGAGGTGGCTGGGAAGGAAGGCAAGACCTGAAGAAGTAGCATCAGAGTTTCCTGAAGGTGTGATTGGCTACATCTTGGGACTGGGAAAGTTTCCTCTGTGCTTTTCTGAGCTCAGCTTTTAAGTGCCCACACCTCTCTTTGAAAGGGTATGGTGTCTGTGAACCTGGACATCTTTCAGTAATGATTTAAGTAACTCAGAAAATTGGAGTGAAAGAAAGAGACGAAAGGAAAGGGGAAAAAAAATCCGCTTAGCCACCTTGTTCTGTTTGATCTGGCAGACAGCGGGCAACCACGGAAGAAGGCTGGAGATGGGGATGGAGGGTGGGTGGATTCCACGTGGCGGTCTCCTCCCTGAGCTCTGTCTGCTGTTTGGACTTGCAGACTTCAAACATGACTGGGGGATTCCTGGAAGACAAAAGAATTCGGGGCCGAGGCTTGGATCTCAGTCAAAAATAACTTATGTCTTCATCTCCGGCAGGCAAACAGCGGCAGCTCAGGGCTGGTTTGCCAGTTTCTCAGAAGATGGGAGCTACAGGTTGGGAGAGGGTCAGCTTAGGTTTACTTTAGAGAGAGAAGGAGCTGCAGAGGGTGTGGGACTGGCTAGGGGAAATGGGAGAGTGGGAAACCATTGAAGAAGAGACCCAGCAGAGGAGGTTCGGATGAAAAGTCACCCCTGTTGATCCACCACCCCGCCTTTCTAGGCACCTCCATTTACTTTGAGCGATAATTACAGCTTTTAATGTTCCTTCCCTGGCTTCTCATTAGCTTAAGGTATCCACAAACAAACTGCTGGCTCCCCTCACCCCTCCTCTTCCCGCRCCTAACACATCCTCCTGGCTTCTCAAGGGCAGCTGCATTGTTAGCTCCCAGGTTCAGAACATCAGCTGCTCCCTGAACATCATCTGAGGGTGCATTCCCTCTCCACTGCCTTCCCCGTTATCCCACTGGGCTGCAATTAGAGGGTTATCTAACTCTCCCAGGAGGCCAGGGCTTGGGTTCCCAGCACCTTTGCCAGACCCTGGCCAACCATGGACACTCACAGTATGTCATTGCATGGCACTGTGGGCTGCTGCCAGCTTCATCTTCCTAAAATGCTACTCTATTTAGAAGCCATCCCTGCTTCCCCAGCCTCCTCAGACTGGCCCACAAGGACGTCCGCCACATCTCTTCCTCATGTGCCTGGCCACGCTTACTTTGTGCCCAGCCACTTCATGGTTCCCCACACRATCAACAGCTTTCTGATCTCTGCTACAGTGGTTCCCTCTACCCAGAAACCCTTCCACATTCCCCACCCCAAAGCTGCCCCGTCTTTCGAGGTTCATCTCAACAGCTCTTCTGAATGGAATTGAATTCCTTGGCATCTGAACCCCTCTTTCCCAATGTATGAGTCCGGATGTTGAAGAGGCCTATGGATTACAGCCTTGGTTCCCAGGAGGGTGCTCTTGGGAAGTGTGGGATCTTTAAGAGCTGAGGCCTAGTGGGAGATCTTTAGGTCACTGGGGGTTTGCCCTAGAAGGGGATTGTGGAACTGCACTCTTTTCCTCTTCCTTTCTTTTTCTTCCCGGTCACGAGGTAAACCAGTTTTGGTCGGCTACATCCTCCTGCCTTGTTGTGCTGCCTCACCACAGCATGGATCATGGACTGAAACCTCCAAAACGGTGAGCTGGGAACTTTTAAAAGAGTTGCTGGGTGTGGACTGCTGACAAAATGAAGAGCAGGGTATATGCCTTGTTTGCTGTCATCTCTCCCTACACCCCAAGAGTCCTGCCAGGGCAGGTGTGTGTAGCACATCCCCTGGCATCTATTAATGCCTAGCCCATGGCAGGTCTTGAGTGAAAATGAGACACCATGACTATTCCTTYCCCTTGAGCAGAAGGTCCCAGTCCTTCAGCTGTGTTAGGCTAGAATAGGATAAAAGCTAGCAGTCTAAGATACTCCATGGCCACTCCCATCCCTTGGAGGTTTCTAGGTCTTGGGTCCCAGACCCCATGTCCCATTGTCTGCTGGGGAGCTGGCTGTACCTGATTGCGGAGTTCCCTGGGACTGAGGTGAAGCTGGTGTGGCTGAAGCAATGTTAAGGACATCAGGTGAGAGAGTGTTGGGCATCGCAATTCATCCCAATAATCTCCAAGTCCAGATGGCTATTCTCCTTCAAGCCAGGGAGAAGAAAGAGATCTGCTGAAGGAAGAAATCTGGTGAAAGGCTGAAATTCTTTCTTAGGAGACTTTTGGGAATACTGCCAGTAGGAGACAACTGCTTCARGGGAGAGAAGGAGGAACAAGATACCCCTCTGATTACCTCTCAGATCCTTACTTTGCCCTTTCATCTAACCGCTGCTGATCTTATGACCCTGCGGTGGATGGTACTACTCCTGTCCCCATGCTTAGATCAAACTTCTTATTGAACTACAGCTAGAGGGGGGTCTTTTACTTTTTGAAACAGGGTCTTGCTCTTTTGCTCAGGCTGGACTCTAACGACTGGGCTCAAAACCATGCTTCTGCCTCAGCCTCCCAAGTAGCTGGGAGTACAGCTGAGCACCACCTGCACTCCACCAGGAGGGACATTTTAAAATGTTACTCTCTATTCATAATCCTTCAGTGACTCCCGGTTGCCCTTAGGGTGAAGGGCTTTTCTCAGGAAACTCACAGCCCTTCACAACCCTCTCCAGGCTGACTCTTTACATTGAACATCTTGGTCTTATTTTAAACCAGGACAAATGGCTTGCAGTTCCCCTCGTATGGCATGCCACCTCTCATTTCAACCCTTGGCTCATGCTGTTGCTTCTGCCTGGAATGCCTCCTCTTCACCTTCCCACACAATGCCTAGATCTGGGGGGCATATCCTTTGAGAAGATTTCCTGGATCCACATGAACCTTCCCCTTTGGTTTCTGTATCCTCTGGATTCCCCTGGAATCCAGGACTTTTCCTAGTATTCAGCATGACTGTTGTCCTGAATTAAACCATTTCTGGTGGACAGGGTCTGGRTCTTATTTATCTCTTACTCCTAAAGCTCTATCACTAGTACTTAGTAGAAACTCAATAAATGTTCAGGAGTTTAACTGAGACTGCTAAAGTTCCTTGCACCTGAGGGAATGGCAGGATTAGATATGTTAATGAGAGATGTCCCTGGGATGGAGAAGAGACAGAATTCAAGGAGCAGCTGGAGTCAATACTTCAGGGTTTCTGGGTATCTTAGCAGAGTAGCCAACTCCTCTGTGTGTCCTCTCCTGCAAGTTCCCCTGGAACCAGGCTTCCTGGCTCACTTCTCCAGGACCCAAAGATCTGAGTGTAACAGAGTCAGCACCCAAGTCATGCAAATGACAGCATGGAGTGAGAGAGGCAGGGACACTGACCTCAGGGTCCCCAGTAGATGCTTATCCTTCTGGGCTTCTTTCCACAAAGAAGCCAGCTCCTCTTCTGTCCCCTGAAGGCTGTTTTCAAAATCACACTCCATGCAGACAGTTTTATTTACAAGGAAATCTTGGCAGGATCTTGACTTGTTAGTAGAGTAGAGATTGGGGGAGGGTGGTGAGAAACAAAAATAGTTGAAATGATCACACTTTCTGAAACTGAGATGAAAATTGGTGTCTGTAGCAAACTCACCTAATTAGAAAGGAGTTCATTTCCTTCTCTGTGTTTCAAGGGGAGCAGTCATTGCTAGATGAGCTGGTCACAGGTGGGATCCTGGGACTGGGGCTATGGGTTTGCCTTACGAAGATGAGAGCATTAATTGCAACTTGCAGAGCCTCRGTTTCCGAGATGAAGGCAGAGGGGCAAAGGCCAGTGAGTGAGTGGGTAGTTGGAAGAGGCTTGGAAGGGCACAGACTTGGTGCAGGCTCGATTCTACTGGGAGATATCATCAGGAAAGAGCCCTTGAGTCTTCCAGGGAGAGCTGGGCACCTGTTCCAGCTGGCCACTGCCACCAGTTACAGACAGAGCCTCTGCTTAGCCTTTGTTTCCCATAGGGAAACAGCCCCAGGTCCTCCCCACTTAAAAGATCTTTTACTCTTGCTAACTTCATTCCTGCTTTTTAGTGTATTTTCTTCCTTCCCTGGACTCAATGTGGTTAAACGAAGTCTGGGCAGAGTCCTATAGTTCTGAGTGTAGGGAGCTCAAGGTTTAGGGTTTGAAGTCTCAGGGCCTCTCTTATCTGACAACTCCCATGCATAGGCGTCCCCGGACCTCCCAGCATCTGGGACCCTCATGAACAGAGGTAGTTGAGGGGGCATCCAGTTATCACAGCATCCCTCCCCCAATTCATTCCTCGTTAACCCTGACCTTGCCAACTTAGTGTAAATCTCGCTTCTACCTCCGTCACATATCTGTTGCCTCCAAATTATCATTAACCAGGTGAGGGAGATGAACCCCGGCTCCAAGAGAAGGCTGCTGTTCACGGGCCAGGGGAGAGCGCAGTCCCCATCCCCACCCTGGGCCATGCAGCCACTTCCCCGCCAACACCGCTGCAGCTCTCCCTCCTCCCGGGGCCGCACAGCTCTGACCGCCACGGCCCGGGCGGTGGCGTCCGGGCTCGGCTGGGGGGCGGGGGCCGCGAGCCCCGAGCGCCGCGCCGCCCCGCCCCCGCCCGCGCGCCGCCCCCGAGGAGTCCGCGGGGAGGAGGAGACTCCGGCGCAGAGCGGGGGCCGCGCAGAGCGGGAAGGGAGTGCGGGGAGCKGCGGGGCCGGGGCTGGCCCAAGGGCGCCCTCGCCTCGGAGCCGGGCGCAGGGCCGTGGCAGAGGCGGAGGCCGGCGGGGTGGCGAGCGCGGAGAAGTTTGGTGGCTGGGGGCCGGGCGTCCCAGGGTCGCCGGTAAGCGGCGGCGGCGGCGGCGGCTTGGGGCCAGGGCCATGGGGGCGGGCGCGGGCTGCGGGGCTGGCGCGGAGGCGGCGCTGCGCTCTCTGAGCCCCGGGAGCAGCGCGGCGAGCGCGGCGCAAAGTTAGCCCGGCGCCCCGGGACGAGCGCTGCAACCGCCGGCCGCCCCTGGACCCCACCTCGGCCATGGGCGAGCATCCTAGCCCMGGCCCCGCAGTGGCCGCCTGCGCCGAGGCGGAGCGCATCGAGGAGCTGGAACCTGAAGCCAATGAGAGGCTGCCCGCGGCGCCGGAGGATGTAAGTACCCCCTCCTCCGCCCRGGCAAACTTTCTGGGGGGCGCCAGGGAGAGTACAGTCTCCGTCTCACCCCCGCGGGGCAACTTGGAGGTCTCAAGGTGATGCAGGAGCGCCCCGATTGGCCGGGTCCCCAAGAACCGGAGTGGGCGGAGGGAACGGTCTCCCCTAGGTGCACACGCGCGCCACCCCAGCCCCTGCTCGGGCTCCAGCGGGTTTCTTGCGGGACACAGCCCTGGCCGCTGCGCCAGGGACCTGCCGGCCGCAGGAGCCCCCTCCCCGCGGCTGGTGCAGTGCCCGGGACACGGCGTTTTCCTGCAGAGGCGGCCGCGTCACAGCAGTGACTCCCCCTCCCCTCTCTTTCGCGACCTGCGGACTCTGAGCCCTGGGAAGAACGGGCGCCGCAGAATCCCCCGTCTCCGGCAACGCACACAGGTCTGGCGAGCCTCTTCTCCCTGATTAGCTCCCTCCCGGACACCTGCCTTGTCGCAACACTGTTTGAAATTCAAACTGCCCCCTGTCCCTAAACCCTGCCAGAGCAGGGAAAGAAGGAGTGCTGAAAGCGGTTTTGCTCCTAGAAGGGAGCTCAAGAGTCTGAGATCACATCGGAGCTAGGGACGGTCCCCTGGGCGAGACCAGGGAGGGGCTACCCCAAAGATCTTCCCTGCCATCTGCTGCTCGGGTCTCCATCACGCCGACCGCAGATCCAGCGCTGGGAAGCCCTGGGAACTGGAGTTGCTTAAGCTTCTGCCTCCCGGGGTTAACCTACCAATAGGGATGAAAAATTGGGCAGATACCCTGCTCAGCCCCATCCCTCCCTCAGGGCTGAACGATGGAASTGAAACCAGGCCCCCAACCTACAAAACCAAAACCAGAAAATCTGAATGGGGCGGGGAGTTTAACAKGTCTCAGGCTTCTGTGGTTAAATCTATCACTTCCTTTGGGCGCCAAACCCGTGGTAGAATCTCATGTACCCACAGTTTAAGACTGAACCTTGGAAGAGAATGGGTGAGTTTCAGCACATTGGGAAGCCGCCCTCCCCCCCAACCCAAAATTCTGCAGGCAAAATGTTAATGTTTATGCAGGAGTCCCTTCTCCTTAGCAGGGCTCTTGGCCCCAGCAGGGACTGAGGGAATTGCACCTGGGCATGCATTCAGAGGCGTGGGAGGAGATGTGGACGTAAACTTTAGGCAGCAGAAGTTGTCAGAGGCCCTTGATCAGAAATGTATGCCTTTATTTGGTAATTTTTGAGAATCATCCTTGTTCTACTCATATCTCCACCTGACTGTCCCATACCTGAGACACCCACCTTGCTGCCCCCATCCCCASCTGCTACTGTGACTTCCCTCTATTTGTTCATTTGGGAACAGTTAAGCAGGTTTTCCCCGGGTTCTTGTGGCCAGTCCCTGAGCCTAATTATGACTCCTGGGCAGTAGCTGGGAGGCTAGGTCAGAAACATCAGGAGGCTACAGAGACCTTGGTGATAAGTGTGTCTTTCTTTCTTTCTCTCTCTTCCTCCTCTCCTGCATGGCCTCCCTCTCTGACAGCACTGGAAAGTCCTGTTTGATCAGGTATGTGAGCAGTTAAATACGCCCCCCCTTCCTTCCAGCCCTCTCTGAAATCAGTCTCCTGTCTCCMTGCTTTGCGTGGGCTTCCCTAGCTCTGTGCTTCTGAGGTGGTGACGTCGGGTGGAGGTGTGGCCTAGTGCATCTGGGGCTGGGCAACACTGCTCTCCAGGTATCAGGAGGAAACCACCGGCTCTCTTAAGAGAATCCCTCCCTCCCTTCCTCCCAATTCCCACTGCACCAGAGCTGGATTCATACCATGTAGAAACCGGATTGCTTCTACAATACAACATGTATTGAATGCCTGGGAAGTTTTCTGTAGTCAAGGGACTTGCAGTAGGAGGCTGGGGAGGTGGGGGAAGGGCTAGAGTTAACCATCAGGCTTTCTTTCCACTTCCATCATCAAAGGTCCATGGACACCATGAAGTCAGATCTCTGCCATCCTTGGGGAGTGCCTTACCATATGAGCTCTTTTGAAGGCGAATTTTATTTCTTTAATTCTGCAGTAATGATGAGGGAGTACTGGAGGTTACAAATGGAAATTAGTTTGTTATCATTTGCAATGCCTAGAGTCTAGATGCCAGGAATGGAGTGGGGAGTGCCTAGTATTGGCTTTGGAGCCCAGAAATGGACATTTGACCTTCAACAAGGAAGTGGTTCTTTTCTTTGTTTGGTACTCAGGTGCTGTTGTGCATTTGCTTTTCCCTCTTGGTCTGTAGGAGAGAGATGTCCTAGTGATTGGGGGTAGAGAGCGCTGCGGTCTGGGGATGAGATGACAGTGTCATAGATGTTCAGTTACACAACTTGAAGAGATGGGTCTGTTTGGGCCAGAGGAGATATGCTGGGTTAGAGGAGGGAGATAAGGCTGAAACAACAGCTTGAACCAGACCTTTATTGTGGGGGAGGGGAAGCGTTTCAAAGTTCTTAAGCAGGGTTGTTTCAGGATCCAGGCAGTGTTTGGAAAGATCCTGTGTGGTAGTGGGAGCAGGAATGAGAAGCTGGTCAGGGACCTGCTGCCAAGAACAGACTCACTTGTGTTAGCTTTCCAATGCTGCAATAAATACCTGAGATGGTCAACTTATAAAGAGGAAAGGCTTAAATTGCTTCATAGTTTTGGAGGTTCCTGTTGATGATTGGTTGACCCCACTGCTTTTGGGCCTAGAGCAGCACATTCTGGTGAAGCAAAAGCCCCTCACTTCATAGCCAAAGAGTAAAGGGAGGGGGGTCCTTTGAGGACATACCCCCAATGACCTGAAGACCTCCCACTAGGCCTGACCTCCTAATAGCTCCAAGCTGGGGACCAAGCCCTTAATATATGGACTTTTGGGAGACATTTATCCAAGTAATAGTACAACTTGGAAGACAACAATGAGCATGGACAGAGAGAGAGACCTGCATAGCTGAGGAGGGTCCACATTACCTGAGATTCAGAAGCTAGGAGGAAAGAGAAAATGGGGGATGGGGGAGGAGGGTTGGCAAAAATGACAACTTTGGTATAATTTGAAGAGCCAGCTAAACRCAGATGCCCAAGTGGGACTGAAGCCATGGAATTTCCAGGTGAAGGACTTGGTGAGCCTGGGCTGAGGATTTGGGGTTATCGGTTACATTACCCATAAGGCCCTGCTGCAGTTGGAGGTGCATCCCCCAGCTGCTGTCCTTACACGATAGAGCATCTCTCCCTGGGCTCCTGAGTGCCACCCACTCTCCCTTTGGTTCCTAAGGGTATAGCAGCTGCTGGCCTGGCACCCCAAGCCCAAGGCAGGAGGGAGCCCACTGCTGCCACTGCTATGGCTACCACCAAGCTGCCAGCCCTTCACACCTCCTGCCAGATTTAGAATCAGAACCTAGAACAAAGTGTATCATGTTTTTTTTTTTTTTTCCTCTGCGTCTTCCACATTTTTTGATTAATTTCCTTTGCCAGTTCCTATGGGTGTGTGTGTACATTTAAAAACAAACCATTTGGATGAATGGAGGAGAATTTTTAGTGGGAAGCATTTGGGACTCCAGGGAGCAGAGAGGAATGTGTACCCAATATTTTATTTTCAGGAGGGAGGTCCTGAATATCACCAAGAACATCCCCCTGCTTCTGGAGAAGCCCACCTAGAAATCATTTCTGGACAGACAAAGTTAATTCTAGGAAAGAAACTACGAAAACTTTGGACAGTTTTTTCTCGTAATAAGTTCCGCATGATGCCTACTCTCCATCCCTCCTGAGGCATCAGAAGCCTATTTCTTCCTTCCTGTTGGTGCATTGTGTTTAAGGAGAGCGGCTCCTGAGCATGACTTTGACCTCTGGCAGATGTCCAGTYCCTCTGCATTCATTGCCCCTGTGCTATTAGCTATCTTTTGACTGTTCCCCTGACAGGGCTCAACAAGAAGCAGGGATGAAGCCTTTCCAGTGGATACTTGGTCTCAGATTGTTCAGAAAGCTGTTAGAGTTTCTCCTTCCTGCCTCTGGGACACTGGTGCACCTGGCACACTTGGGGAAGAGTGTGGGGGTTGCAGGCAGCTTCCCCATTATTTCCTACCAAGTGGACAGTCTTGGAAGATCAAATTGTGGTGAATGGGACATGCCACCTGTCATGAGTCCCTGCCTCCAGAATTCACTTTCTAGAAATCAGTGGCAGGGGAGGTCAGTATAGTCAGGCACACCCTTYCTCCCCTTCTTGGATCAATGGGACACCAGTGGTCACCCAGTTTCAAACTGGGGTCTGTTGGGCTCTGTSTCAGAAATGGAATTGAACCAATTCCTCCAAGCTGTGTGSTTCTTCAGCATGTGGAAGCTCCYTGACGCAGCATGAAGCTAAYGGGACCCCACGATGTTGGCCTTGTGGGTCCCATGGGGGTCTCCCTTCAACCAAATGTTCAGGATGCCTTTTGTGGGTATTGGAGGTGAAAAAAGTAGGTGACCCCTGTCCTTGGGTCCCTGTTTTTCTGGCGTTAATCTGGTCTGCTCAAGTGGGGATGTAGCATAGCCAATCCATGCCATCCCTTGACAGCCCCCTTCTCCTTCCCCATGGGCTGCAGAAGTCACCCCAAGCAGGAAACCTGAGGGTTACAGTTCAACTCCCAGATGTTCCATGTTTTCGTTTTCTACTCAGATTTTTCCTTGAGGGAAATATCTTTTCTTTTCTTTGGGATCTTGATGGTTTTCCTAAATATTTAAATAGATTTTTAACGTTACCATAAATATGAATCTGTTAGTTGTGATAGTACACTATCRTTGTAGAAAAAAATCTTATTTTTTTACTGTTGAATCAGTGGGGCTTCTCTTCCACCCTTCCTTCCATTGCTTCAGACCCAAGACAGTTTGCATCCAAGAAACCCTTTCTTGGGGGCTGGAGTTGTGGCTCAGCGGTAGAGGGTTTGTTTAAGCACATGCGAGGTCCTGGGTTCGATCCTCAGCACCACATAAAAATAAATAAATAAGGGCTGGGGAGGTGGCTCAAGCTGTAGCGCGCTTGCCTGGCTTGCGCGGGGCGCTGGATTCGATCCTCAGCACCACATAAAAATAAAATAAAGATGTTGTATCCACAGAAAACTAAAAATAAATAAATAAATAAATATTAAAGACTCTCTCTGAAATAAATAAATAGATAGATAGATAGATAGATAGATAGATAAATAAAGATATTGTGTCCATACAACTAAAAAGTAAATGTTAAAAAAGAAAAAAGAAACCCTTTCTTTACCTATTGTTTGAAATGTAGTGTTATTTGGCAAATTTTATATGTGGTTGGATTCATTTCTGATTTCTGATCTATGCCACTGATATTTATAATTTTGCACAGATAATATGCCCTTTAGTTATTGCTTTATATTTGTTCCCGAAAAGCTCCTTTTTTTCAGATTATGTTCTCAGTCCCTTCCTGAATCCTAGAGTAGTTTGATCTAAGGTCAAATATTTGATCCAAGGTCAAAGAGTAGGTCAGTAGCAAATGTGGGACTGGAGCCCAGTTAACCCATACAAGGTTTCCTGGGTTGAAAGAGCCATTTGCAGGTTCATCCTTAAAAAAAATGCCTCCAAGATCTTTGAATGTTTTATGAGAAAAGGGGTTTGGAGCAGAGTTCTGTTAAGTCAACAAGGCACAATGGCACAATTTGAGTTCAGAAGAGCAAAAGGGAGTAGAAAGAATTGGTCATCACTTGATTTTRTCTCCTCTTTCTCTGGGAACATGCATTTCCCAGACCCCCATAAATATAAAGAAACCCCAATTTTGTCAGTCTCTCCGATGGGAAGTAGACAAGTATGACTATCTCACCAAACTTCTAAACAAATGCTACAAACACAGCATGGGGCAGCTTAGATGGGCTTCATGGGGCTGAAYCTCATATTTGGAGATGGCCAGACCTGAGTTTAAGTCTTACTGGCTTGTCACTGAGGACAATCATATTAACTCTCTGTGCCTCTATTTTTTTCTATATAAAATGGGGACAATGATCCTTAACTCCAGGATGACTGGAGAATTAAGTGAAAGTGGAATCGCTTTTTGCATTATCTGATTCCTAGTGGACATTTGACAGATGGGTCTTGACTAGGAATCAAAATTTGCTGGGAGGAAACACAAGGACCACTTTTGAGATCTGGGTTCCTTGAGAGAGCCACTTCTAAGCCCAGAGGATTTTTCTCCTTTCTTTCTCCYAGTGTCTCCTCTGCCCAGCCCCACTCCTCCTAGCCTGGGGGTCTTCCCCTCGCCTGACCCAATGCCCATCTCATTTGTAGTCCTCCTGCAAGCTGGCTTAAGGGGTTCTGGGAACTGAGAAGAGGTTCAGATGAGACTGCTGAGTGGATTAGTGAGGAGCACAGAGAAAACACTGCCCCAGAGACAGCAGCATTGGCCATGGCTCCCGGAACACACGATTAACCATCAGAACAGTTCCCAGAGGGGGACAAAGCCTGGGATTTAACTGGAGCCTCCCTTTGCACTCTGTACCCCCAACCCCTTACCAAGTAGCCTCTGGGACTCTTGTGGCTGTGGACTCACCTCCACCACAAAGCCAGATTC